CTGCAGGTGACACTCGTGTTTCGTGTCCGCTCTCGGTGACCGTGGGCCCAGCTGCCCTGGTGCCTCCTCCATCCAGGCTCAGTGGGGCTGTTCTAAATCCCCTAGGAGCCGGTGTCTCCGCTCTCCAACACAGGGTACGATTTGGTGGCGGAGCACACGGGCGGCTGCTTAGACCAGCRCTGGTGTATTGAACTTGTTGTGCCTTTGGCAGGGAGCAGGTTTCGTTTGGCTGCGTGCTCTTTCTGTTGTCGACCGTGGCTAGGAATAGAGCTAGAGTTTATGCAATGAGCGAGAGTTAGAGCAATGCCTCCGAAGGATGGGTTTTCCAGGCGCACCATCGGCCAAAACGTCATGTCAGAAAGGAGCAAACCCATCATGTCAGAGYGGACCGCAACAGGAGAGGGTCAAGCGGGCAGGTTTTTGCCGTGGGAGAGATTCCTGCGCCGCTTTCCTGAGCCTTGCACGGTGCAGACACCAGGCCGAGCTCTTGGAAGGGTTTCTGCTGCTGTTGGTTCAGACTGCAGCTGCAGGGACAGTGTCCCACCTGAGTAATCCCAGAGGGATGATGGGAAGAAGAGGATAACGCTTGYGGAGATGAGAAAATTAGATATTTGCCAGTGCTTCCGTTCTCCGGGAAGCGTCGGTCTGGCTGGGCTGAAGCGGAGGTGGAGAAATGAGAGGAGCTCTGAGCACTCGTCCACTGCAGAAGATCAGAGACGCGAACCGCGTGGATCCCACCGCCCTTCCGTTTGGGAATGAGCCGGATCCCACCGCCCTTCCGTTTGGGAATGAGTCGGATCCCACCGCCCTTCCGTTTGGGAATGAGCCGGATCCCACCGCCCTTCCATTTGGGAATGAGCCGGATCCCGCAACCCTTTCATTTGGGAATGAGCCGGATCCCACCGCCCTTCTGTTTGGGAATGAGTCGAATCCCACCGCTCTTCTGTTCAGGAATGAGTCGGATCTCACAGCCCTTTCTTTTGGGAATGAGTTGGATTCCACCGCCCTTCCATTTGGGAATGAGTCGGATCCCACAACCCTTTCATTTGGGAATGAGCCAGATCCCA